AGAAAGAAGAAAGAAAGAAAGAAAGAAAGAAAGAAAGAAAGAAAGAAAGAAAGAAAGAAAGAAAGAAAGAAAGAAAGAAAGAAAGAAAGAAAGAAAGAGAGAGAGAAAGGGCTGGAGAGATGGCTCAGAGGTTAAGAACATTGACTGCTCTTCCAGAGGTCCTGAGTTCATTTCCCAGCAACCACATGGTGGCTCACAACCATCTGCAATGAGATCTGGTGCCCTCTTCTGGCATTCAGGCAAACATGCAAGCAGAACACTGTATACATAATAAATTAAAAAAAAAAAAAAAGGAAGGAAGGGAGAGATAGAGAGATAGAAAGAAATAAGAAAAGTAAGAAGAGTAGTAGAGATAGAGCCTAAAACCATTTTGTTCGGGGAGACTAACAAGACAAATAGGATGGTTCCACTTAGTACGGGAACTAGAGCAGGCCAGTTCATCCAGACAGACAGCACAGTGGAGACTCTGTAAGAGGCTAGAAGAAGGCAAGCTGGGTAGTTCGTGGTTATGGGACACGGAATGCCCTGGCATTGCTCAGTCCCCATAACTGAAGTCTAAAACTAGCCACCTTGAAACAAGAAAACTACCCAGGAGGGAGACTGAGGAGGAGCTATGTGACGAGCTGGCTAGGTATCCAGTGAGGAGGCGGCCCAGTGGAGTTCCAGCCCAGCCAGACGACACAGTAAGAACCTGTGACAAACAAGTCAGAGTGATCGGAAAATGGCACCATTTGTCAGTTTTAAAGGCTGAAGAGGTCCAAGCCATTTTAATGTAGGCAGACTCTTATGGAACACGTGAGGGGGCAGGCAATATGCTCACGCATTCACACGTGTATGCACATGTATGCACATATGTGCAAGGGACAAACGAGATCCTAAGGTGCTATTTGTCAGGCACTGTCCACTTTTTTGGATAGGCTCTCTCACTGGCTTAGAACTTGCCTAGTAGGTAGGCTGGCTAGCCAGCAAACCACAGAGGTTTGCCGATCTCCACCTCCCCAGTGCTGGGATTAAGGGCATGCATTCTAAACCCAGCTTTTCCTTGTGAGTTCTGGGTAGTGAACTCAGGTCAT